CAGTTTTTAGCTCGAAAGTCATCCTGTATCTACTGTTCATTCCATCTTGAATCGCAGCCGTTGCCCTAAGTTCTGATAAGCAAAAGGCAAAGAAGAAAATGGCTTAACTGTGTAAGAAGTCCCCTCAAAGCTGGTATTTTTCAAAAGCAGTCAGAAATGCGTTCTGTGTCAGAGCAGGCCGTCGGTGCCCATGACAGAGGTATCTCAGGCGCTTTGTAAAGCTGTCCGTGGCGCTTCCCCTTTCTCCATCCCGCTGCTCTGGCTGCCCCAGCCCTGGTTTCGGTGTCACCGTAGTGTTTCCCAGAACCAGCACGTGACACTGACCCTCAACTTGGGACCTGGTGGGTGCCGAGGACGCCCCAACGAGCCCTCCTCTGCGGAGGCAGCTCCTGGGGCCAGGAGAGCTGCTGGCACTGATGGCAGCGTTGTCATTTGCAGGTGGAGTCGGAGCTGCAGAGGAAGCATGTGGCGGAGGCTTGGGGTGAGCAGCTAAATCAAAAAAACAAGGTAGGCTGGTGTTAGTGGTCACTAGGGCCGACTCCTGAAACGCGTGAGCTGGTGGAGGGGTGACTCTGCCTTGTGACATAGCTGGTAGGCAGGCTCAGATGTGGAAGGAAGAGGAGTCGGCTGTTTGTTCGTTTTCTCACACCAATCTCAAACCAAATGATGACCGAGGTTGTTGTGCTCATTCCCATAGCGATGGGCAGTTCTGGTGTGGTAGGACAGGAGCTGTTAACAGGACGGATGTTTTAACGAAGAGCTGTCGTTCCTGTCTCCTCGAAAGCGCAGCGCTGCCCGCTGAGCGGATCCGTGGCAGGATTCAGTGGGGCACTGGGTGCTTGTCCAACAGCTGCTGCAGCACAGAGCCAGCAGGGATACAGTGATTTTGATGTGAAAGAATGATAAAGGCCTTCAAATACAGATTTCACAGTTAACAAAAACAATAATCCAGGTTGCAGTAGGGAAATCTGAGTGTATTTGTGAGGCTGCCTGTGCTGCGCATCAGAGCCGAGTGGGGTCCCGTGAAGGTCGCGCAGACTGATCCCCCTTTTCAGGCAGTGATGAGCACAGTTTGGCTTTCTCCTTGGGTTCCTTCCCAGCATATTTCATGCCATAGTTTCCCAATCCGTGTCGGCTCGAAGGAGTTTGATTTGTGGATTTCCTGAGCCGGAGGCTGTTTCTTGACGTGAGCCTAACGTTAAATGCCATGTTCCATTTTGTCTCCGAAAGCAAGAAGCAACTGAACTTGAAGAGCAAAAGCGTCATGAAAATGAGTATGAGATTGCACGAAGGGAAGTGCTGGAAAGAATGAACCAAGAGGAAGAGAAGCGCCGGCTGGAAGAGAAGAAGCAAGCAGAGGTGTTGCTTCAACAAATAGAAGAACTGAAATTACAGGAGATGGAGGTAAGCTTTAGTTTCTCCTCATCTGAGAAAGAAATTGTTTCCCTTGGAAATACAGCAACACAGACCTGACCTCTTCGCTCTAGTTTCCACCAGGTTAAATCTGGAACAGAGTCAGCTGTGATGTAATTTCTGTCAGTGATACAGACCTCCCCCCGAACGCTGGCAGATTAACCACATCCCGGTGGCTTTTGTTTGCTCCTCTTGAAACATGAGCACCTTTTTGTGCTGCACCAGATGACAAAAAGAGCTGTAGAAACTTCTGAAGTGTGAGAGGGTCATGTCAAAGGCTTTGTCAGCTGGAGCTCCTCAGTGCTCTGAGGCCACCAATTAAATTAATGTAGAACGTTTAGTGCCATGAGGATTTTGGCTGCTGGCAGAGGAGCAGAGCGGGGTACAAACTGGCACAGAGCCACTCTTGGGACATCCTGGCTCCCTGACATACTCCTTCTTGGTGGTTGTTTTTCCCCTTTCAGGCAACAAAGCTGAAAAAAGAACAAGAGGGTTTACTAAAGCAGCAGTGGGAGATGGAGAACTTGGAAGAAGAAAGGAAACAAATGGAAGAGCACCGGAAGAAGAGCAAGCTTGGGTACGAGATGGGGGACAGCTTGTTTCAGCAGGGCTTGGATGGAATCTGCTCCTGCGTCTGTGCACAGCGTGAGGTGTTTCAGGTAGCAGCAGAGGGTTGTAAATATTTGGGTTTTGATGGAAACGCCTGGAAGATCTAATGAGCCTTTCTGTTTGTGTTAGCAGTGGCAGGTACCTCTTGCCTGTAAGTCACGTCACAGATGTACCTCCTTGAGTGCTGGGTGTAACAACATGGGGCTTTAAAGTCAGGTTGAATGTTCTTTTTTTTTTTTCTTTCTCTTTCTTTCTCCTTCAGTCGCTTTTTGAGGCATCAGTGTAATGCCCAGTTAAAGAGAAGAGCCCAGCAGATACAAGAGGAGCTGGTAAGAGAAAATACCCCTTGATTTAGCCGTTATAGATGCTGTGTGCTGGACAAACTTGTGTTTTATGTGTCTGGCTCCGAAGCCTACAAATAATTAGTTAGGAAGCCCCTTCCAGCTTGGGAACGGGGCTGGAGCAAGAAGATCATGGAGCAGGCAACAGCCCGAGCATCCTCCTTGATGCTTCTCACAAAAATTTGTGGAGTAGCCCTGTGTGCAGGCTGGAAGCCTGTTGGATAGTTGTTAATCTTGTGGCTTTTTTCAAGGAGATAGACAGGCAAATCTTATTAGCCCTCCTCGAGAAAGAAGATGAGGATCAGCACCAGCAGTCCGCGCGACGAGAGCAAGCTGTTGCAGATGTTGCCTGGATGAAACGTGTCATTGAAGAACAGCTCCAGTTGGAAAAGGAGAGGGAAGCAGAGCTGCAGATTATTTTTAGGTGAGTCTGTGCACCTCTGAGTGTCATCTGAAGAGCCCCTGCGTGCTGAATGTTCCTGCCTGGTCGGCACAGCTCCGCTAGCGGTTGCTAAACGTGCTCTGAAAGAGGCAGCTGGTCATACTGTGGGCCAGGTACTTTGGCAAAGCAAGCAAAACCTGAGGCTGTTTTTCAACTGCCTAGTCCATAGTCCATAACTTCTGTTACATTAGCTCGAATGCAAGAGCTTTACTAACAAGAGAAGGTGTAACGCAGAGACAGCAAGAAGGACCTTTCAGTTGCGTGTGCTTTGCAACCAACGTGCAATGATTCTGCATTACTGACGTGGAGGGGTTTAGCTTAAGTGACTCCAAACCCCCCATATTGTTCCCTTTTGTAGCTCAGCTCCATAAAAGCTGCCTCAGGTTCCTTGTTCAGGTTCAGCTCCCGCTCTCCCCCGCACAGAGAGTGCTTTTGGTGGTAGCAGGACAGCGCCTGCTCCCATCGAGTTGTAGTTAAAGGTTTTGTTGGCAAGAGGGAAGATTTGCAAAACTTTCCAGCTTTAGCAGCACCCTTAACTACCCACCCCTCTGTGCAGTAATACCCGTGTTTGGGTGTCCTGCTGGGGCAGGCGGGTGCTCCCGAGGGGCCCTGCTGTGGGTCAGTGTGCCCGTTGGCACGTTGCCTCCTCTGGCGGGAGCGGGTCTGCGGTGCACGCAGGAGGAACCCGAGCTCTCCGCTACTGCCTCAAGGAGCTCGTCTGTGCCCAGGGACTACGCCACGGGGTTTCACTGTACATTATAACCTTACGAGATAATTCTTCCTCTCTCCTCTAGAGAAGAAGCACAAAAACTGTGGGAGAAGAGGGAAGCAGAATGGGAAAGGGAGAAAGCGGCCCGAGATCGCCTGATGAAGGAGGTGACGACCTCTTGGCTCGATGAAGCCATCGCTCCAGCGGCAACCCGCCGCCCTCCGGAGGGGTCCCAGCGCAGAGCTCTGCTTCCGCTGCGCTGCCCGAGAGCAGTTTAACTGTCAGCACTGAGACTGCCCCAGTTCTGGGTCTGACCTGATTCTTGACCTCTCCCTTAATCCTCTCCCTTCCCAAAGGTCCTTGCGGGCAGACGGCGCCAGATCCAAGAGAAGATGGAGTTCAACAGACGAGCCCAGGAAGAGTCTGTGAAGTACCGAGAGCAGCTGATTAAAGACCTGGAAGAGACGAAAGAACTGACCAGGCGAGAGAAAGAGCAGGAGGAGGAACTGAGAAGGGCCCGCGGGAAGGAGCTGGCGGCGCAGGTACAGCACGTGTAGCCACTCCAGCCCGGTGGGTGCCTGACCCCGCTGTGACACCCCATCTCTGTGCCCAGCTGACAGAGCACCACTTCCCGCAGCAGGAGGAGGAGCAGCGCCAGAGGGAGGAGGAAGAGGAGGCACGATCCGCCCAGCAGCGCTGCCAGGAGGCCAGGCATCTGGCGGAGCGCGGACATGGCAGCAGGGTAGGAGCGGCGCGGGCTCACCCCGACACCAGCCCGGCGGCATCGCCCACAGTTCTCAGCGGTTCTTCTCACGCCAGAACACCTGCCCGTCCTGCACTGGTGCTAGTTCTGACAGAGGGCTAGAGCTCTCTCAGAAATTGCTTTTCTTTTGCTGATACTGATGCTTTAGGTCCTCATTTAAATAACCCTTGAAACAGCCTCAGATATTGGTTTCCAGCACAACAAGCTGCGTTAACGCAGTCGGTACAGCGCATCTCAGCCGCTTGCCGTCTTTATGCCTTCTGTTGGGTTTTTCCTGGCTCTAAAACCAGCAGAGTTTGAGGAACCTGTCCAAAAACGCATGCCCAGATCCTATTTTTCATACTAAACTATGAGCTCCGTGTGGAGTTGCTCACCTCAGTCATTTACTAGAGAACGGCTCCCGCAGTCAGAGGCATCACTGCCTTAACGTACCAACTCGTAGGGTGCCAGTTCCTGGAGGACACTGCGCTCCCCCGGGCACAGTATTACCCAAGTTACACAGCACCTGGGTGCAGGATTAGTTCTAGAGCCCCTAAACTAATTACAGTCTTTGCTTTGACCCCCTTAGTGCTACAGTTACCCGAAAGCAGCGTGGACCTGAGGGTTCTTGTCCTCTGCGCCTGAGGAATGAGGCTCCACGAAACAAACTCTGAAGAATCAAGGAACTGAAATAATGGTGGGTTTGGAATAGCCTACGACAACACCGAGACTCAGCTCAGGAGATCTCTGAAAAGATACCGCCGTGGCACAGCTGAACAGAAAAGCAAATTTCTTCTGGGAGGTGAGAGCAGCCTTGGGGGAGCGAACTGCTTCAGCTACTCCGTGCTCAGGAGCGGGGACGATGGAGTGTGGTAGACACTGCGTCGGGGCCACACAGCAAAAAAACTTTCAGGAGTTAATTCAGAATGTGTTGCCAATCAGCGAGATGGACGGTGTGTGCTGTGGCTGTAATTCTTAATGTTCAGTTCCTCGCCAGAAGCTGCTGAAGACTTTTTTTTTTTTTTAACTAGTTTCGTAATTAGTAATTTCAACCTGAACACCGCTTGTTTCTTTATGAGCAAACTGCTGGAGGGGAGTTGCAGCTGATTATTGCACTTGATTCCTTGCTTGGGTCCTGTCACAGCGTGCGAGGAGCCATCGCAGAGACAGGCACAGCCTCAGCACCAACCACAGAAACCTCTTCCAAGATCTCCTCCTTACAGAACCAGCAGTCAGCCAAGCCCAAATAACTTTGCACACTGAAAAGGTTTTAGCATTTTATAGTAATACTGTAAACAAAAGATTAAGTCAAAATATTGTACAGACAGAACGACACTGATAAATACAAATTTTGGAAAAAGGCAAAAAAAATGTGTACTTTCCTATGCAGCATTTGGTAAAGAAAGAGCAAGTTTGTTTACAGGGGGAAAAGAGGAGATCTAGCCCTAAAAGAGAAGAAACACCTTTGTTATTTCAGGTATTAGAAACCTGTTGCCCCCGTGTGAGCCGCGGGCTTGAGTTCTGCCGCGCAGGGCCCCTGTGAACAGCACCTCAGCGCGGGCTTGGGGTGCTGCCACCCCACCGACAGCGGCGGGGCAGGACAGGCGCCACCGTTCCGGGGCGATGGCACGGCCGCTCCATCCCCACCCTGAACGCCCCGCGGACTTGGGGCGACGGCAGGGGCACCCCGCGCGGGGCTGGTCCTGGTTTTAGAGCCAGGCCTTCCCCTAAGCTGAAGGGCTGGCTTTAGAGAATCTGGAGGTGGTGCAGAACAAGGGCGCGCAGTCACCCGAGCGGCCGTTTGTTTTGGTACGGGGCAAGTTTAAAAAGCGCTGATAACTCAGTGTTACCCTGCTCTGGAAACCAGGTGAGATACGGTCAAGAACAGCATACAAGGGCGTCCTGAGAGATTTAAAAATACCATCCGCTGCCTTCCAGCGATGCCAATTTAAGGGAAAGTTCCCAGGTTATCTATGTTTTTAATTGCCAGTAGCATAATTCCGTAGCAGGTTTTACAAGTGTCCTTCACAGTTCTAATCCCAGCCTGTCGGCATTCCCGGGCCTTTACAGACAGTTCTGGAATTCAGAAGTGCAGAAAGGAAATTACAAACCCTGCAGTGAAGAACATTAATTTACTGGCTTGTCATCTACCCTCTCCCTTCCCTCAAACTTGCACTGCTTTAAAAAAGGACCTAATGACAAGACAGAGGCATCCCCCAGCGTTATGGCACTTTGTGTGTATATGTACATACAAACTCGCTGCGATGTGAAGAGGGACCAACTGCTGAACTTCAGCTCGTTTGTTCACCTCAACAGGGCAGTTTTTCACCAGAAAGCCTTGAGGAGAGGGTGCTGTTGGCAGAGCAAGTGCTGCAGCCCTGCTTGCGGGGCAGTAGATGGACATTTCCACTCCAAGGTTTCTCTGAAACCTCCATAAACATTCTCTGCAGCCCCCTCGCCCTGCCTGGACGGGCAGCTCCCTGGAAACAACAACACACTTCCACACAGGACATGGGCAAAGGCAATAATTAGTGATTTTTTTTTTTTTTTGCCCCCCAACAAACTCTCATTTTTGAAAATACAGACTGAGACATTTTTGGAATTTTTTTGAACGGATATGAATGAAAAAAACCTGAAACGCACAGTGACGTTTGTTACCCATCCACCTTTCTGACAGGCAGCCTAGCGTGGGTTACCCCGTAGGTAGCTTGTAAAATCTTGAGAGATTTGCATAAAACTTACTAGATAGAAGAAAACCTTTTCACATTTGGGTATGCTGAGGTACAGAGGTTACGTGCGATGGCAGACAGCTGCTTCCGCACTGGCACTGCTGAACTTCCTTTGTTGGTTTAATGATCACAGAAATCTTTAGTGAAATTGCATCTGGAGTTACTGAGCGATGCTGCTGCAAACAAGACGGTGCCTTGAAGACAGTAAAATTCTGTAGGAAACTTAAGAATGAATTATTAACTCAGAAACAAGGGATAGTATTTTAACCACTAATGCCCTAAAGTAACATCAAAACGTATATTAACGGCATAGTGACAACTAAAAGAAAGAACTATTAAGTTTCAAATTCCTTCCAAAATGGGTAAAGTGACAAAGACCTTGTATAGTTACGTGTAATAAGCTCGGATGCCCACAACTACTACTGTTTCAGCAGACTAAAAACGCGTTATTGCACAACAGTCGATACGGGAACAGAGAATATTTGGCTTGTACTCCGTTACCAGGGCAACCACCTTCTTCCTGCTGGGTAGGGGTTACAGTCCTGGAGCCTTCGGAGCCCGCTGTGCTGCGGGTGGCCGGGTCGGTGGCCCCACGGCACACGAGGCTCCGGGCTGGCCAGAGGAGGGGCGAGGTCCTGCCCTCTGGTACGTGCCAACTTTTGCAAAGTGCTACCTGAAAGCGGCACGCGGCCCCCAAGGAAAGAGCCAGCAAGAGCTTGACACGACGCTGGGACGCGGTATCGGCTCGACAGCTATCTGCAACATGCTATGGTCTGTAACTAAACTGGCAACACAGGCACAAAATAAGGCAGTGGGTTAAATTAACCATAAAATTGTTAGAAAACATGCAAAAATAATACTGAGTTTAAAAAAAAAAATGTTCCTTGACCCTTTAGTTTTTCCTCATTAAAAAACCCTCAATAGTTCCACACCTCTATTTGAAATCCAACCCTTAAAAAACAAGCCTGAAAAGCCAAGTGTGACTCAGTTGTTGTTCTCTTTGGTTGTGATGGTAACCAGCTGTTTGGCGGCCTTGGCGATGTCGTAGGCGCACTGGATGACCTGCTGGGTGACCAGCTGGATGTCGGGCGCGGGGCAGGGCTCCCCCGGGAGGGTCTTTTTGCACTCGCATTGGAGTCTGTAGGCACTAGATGTCAGCAGGCGCAAAGAAGTCCTTACCAGTTCGGATTTGGGTTTCTGGGAAAGAAGAGCAGAAGTTGAACCCGACAAACCGTTTCAGGATCGGTTTTGGTTAGGCGGGAGTGGCTCCCAGGAGCTCTTTAACCCAGGCCCTGCCTGCGGGGCCTCCTAAGCCATCGCTGCTGCAGAGACAGGGGGTAGGAGCTGATGAAATCAGTTCCCAGAATTTCTCCTCGCTCATCTCAGGGGCATGTTAAACTGCTGCCAGGCAGTGCGCAGGGAATACTGCTTCACACTCTCTTTTAGGAAGTTCCTCACACAGAGTTTCTAGTGCCCATTTACTGCTACCCAGCCCTTGTCCTGGCTGACACAAGTACGAGACAATCAGTTCAGGTGGGCACAAGAGCGTTAGATTTTTTTCCTGGCGGTTTTACAGAGGTAGGTAAGTTTTTGTAAAAACTTAATCAGAGATTTCACTCCCTCAATTTGCTGTGAGGAAACAGAACACTTTGGTAGATGGGCAAGAGATCTAACATACCTGCAAAGTAAGAAATTCAGACAACGGCACTCAGCTGGACGCTAGGGACTTGAGGGGCCCAGCAGAATTCCCCAATAACCACACGACCCCCCGAGCTAGGTGCCTCCAGTTTTGGAGGAGCTGCAGGCCGACTCTCAGAGTTTGAAGTTCAAGAGCAAAAGGAAAGGCCTAGACTCACACATTAACCCTTCCCAACCGGCACGCTGATAAATACAGGGATGCCAGATGCGACAAAACCATCGAGTCTTTTGCTCTCTATCTCCAGCTTTGGGTTTTCATTTACTGAAGGGAAATCTAATGAGGAAGGAGGCCCACGTTAATGCTGAAGGTACTTACTTTTGGGAACAAGGCTGCCATTTCTGTTACCGCCACATGTATTCTCTCGGAGCATGGTATATAGCTGCAAAAAGATGCAATGTAGTGTTTATTATGTCAAAAACTCCTTTCCTCCTCAATTTTACTAGCCGGTGGCTATCAAAACCCCCGTATATATTCTAAAAAGATCTTTGAAGGCTGCACCAAAGGCAACAGAAGTAGCTGGTGCAGGACACAGCGTGGTGACCCGCAGCATCTCCTCAGCAGCCCCCGCATGCTGCAGCACAGGCATGGACAGAACTATGCGACTTCAGAACAAGCAAGAACTTCACCAATTAATTAAGTTTTCCTTACTTTTTCATTAAAGTTTGAGGGAACAACCGTACCCTCCTATTATACTAAACATTGTCAGAATTAAGTCTCAATGCGTATGCGATTATGGAAACATGTCTATGAATATGAACTGCTCATAACTCTCATGATTCCTGACCTCCCCTCACCTGACTAATCAAATGCTAGAATTCTTCTCCAAATTATACAGAAAATTGCTCAGCTCCTACTTGGTGTACACGTGATGACATATCGTTGCATGTGGGAGAGCATGCCCAAGCAAACTGGTTCATGTCAGTCAGGCACAAAGGAAAGTAAAAGACTGAAGCAAAATCCAGTGACACAGAAGGGCTTTGGAAAAAAAGCAACTTTTTTTCCTCAGTGCAGTGCTGATGATCAAAAGTGGATTAAAAAACCTCTTTGTATATGGGATCTGAGTAATTTTAACTTGCTGCCATTTTAGGGGAATCTCTACCCGTTTTTTTTGAAAGAGCTCTTTCTCTGTAAGGCGGAGAGACTATAAAACCAGACTACTAAAAGAGTTTTTAAACTGCTAAGGATCTAAGCGGCTAAAAATATGCAGTAATCTCTGAAGTTAAAAAAACCCAAAAGGCATTTCAATTGATTTTATGTTTCAGAGTTGAATTCTGGCCATGCAAACTCCTAAAATGTGACAGCCAAGTGCTGATATTTATAGGGCTGTCTTGCCTACACCCCTGAAGCAATTCAACTTTCCTGTGCTTTTTTTCCATGTGAAAATTACAAAGCCTTTAAAAAAAAAAAACCAAACCACTTTGTACCTAAGTTTCCCAAACACAGGAAACCCAAAAAGCTGTATTCAAAACAGGTGGCAGCAAGACCTGAAGCCTGAGCTCCGTAAGATTTTAACCCGTCGGTCCTCAGGTGCTCTGAGCCACCTCTGTCACAAACACGTGCCCCGGCGGGTCAGGCGCCGGGCGGGGAGCTTCAGCTTGGTGCAGACATGCCGAGGACACACCTCGATTCCAAGGAGATTAATTTGCATCTCTGCATCAGTTCGTTATCAGTCGAAGCCGAGAATGCAGCACCATGCAGTATTTCTTCCTCCTCATTTCACAAACTGAAAAAAGTCAGACACCTACTGAGAAGGGGGTTTCCAAATTTCCAGTACAGAACTCACACCTTGCTTTTTGGTGATGTTTAACTAAAGAGAAAACATCCTGTGAAGGTAACTGAAGAACACCAAGATGCCTTCTCGGATTGATTTATACACACTAGACAGACAACGCACAGTTCTCATACGTGCATCTCCAGACTACCAACTACTGCCACAGTTTCAGGCTAAAATGTTCAGTAATTCTGTTAACTAATAAAACAAAGGCAGGTTCCATGAGTCCTCACAGATCTCACTTCTGATTTATATATCAAATGAAAACTGGTCTGTTCAAAACAGGTCTTTAAACCATCATAAGCTGCTCTGAAGTGCTGTGCTAGTGTGGTCTGTCAAAAGCCCAATTTCAAAAGACTTGTTTTTATGCTTCGAAGACTCAATTTTAGCACGTTAGTTGATGGGATTCAATCTTAAGCAAGAAAAAATCTCAAAAAAATCACAAAGCATTCAAGAAAAATATTCAGCATCTGTAGATTATGGTAGATCATTGCCCTTTCAAGTAAAAAACAATCCAAAACCAAAAAAACCAACCTCCCAGTCATTATTTATGCAGTCATCTTGCAATACTGAAGGTGCAAAACCAGGGCGTTTGCAAATGCTCTGAGAAAGCAGCAACACTCGGGTCATTTTGGCAATGTTGGAAAAATTGCTTTCAAAATGGACTATTCCAAATCAGATTAATTCTTCCAAATAAACCAGAAGTGGAGAGAAGTCTTCCAAATCCACTGAAATTCCCATTCTGCTACTGAGTTAGCAATTAATTTGCTCCCTGCAAGCCACACTGAACAGCACCATACCTCATTAAAAAGCCAGTTTGTTGATTAAACCCTTCACTAACAAGGCAGAGAAATCCCTGAGAATAACTTGAATGAAAGAGACCAAGATTAACCACACACATTTCGTAATATTTTCTCTAGGTTAGCTGCAAAGTTTACACCGTGTCTTGGAGAAACGGCTTTATTTTCTAGTCTAAACACTCCCTGTAAGCCGATGAAATAAGATGACACATTTGTTGAGTTTACCCACATTCCAGTAAGAGATGTTCAAGGAGTGACAGCTTGGAAAAAAGAATCCATCGTTAGCAGTAACTTGTAACCTCTCCCTCCAATCCTGGGATTTGTCACTGGCAGTAACACCTGGGGTTAGAACTTGAGGAGTTCTGTTTTTAAAGAACATCTCACTTAAATTTCATTTTATTTCAGGCATTAACAAACAGTATTTTGGTCAGGTTGGAAGATACTCTATATAAACACACATCTTTTGCACTGATTCAAGATACAGATGATCTCATCTGACACAGCTAAAGGCCCAAGCTGTGAGGTGCAATGCTGGGAATGGGGCAACTCCCACTCCTCTTGCAACAGGAAGAGAAGCAGCAACCACACATTCCGCTGTTAGTTGTTGGAATTTACCTCGATGGACACTAAACACAACAGAGGCAGGAGAATCTTTTACACTAGAGACAGTTCCAGTTCCAGGCTGCGATTCTGCTCCCTGTTAAATCGACCCAGCAGGCAGCATCGCCGGCTCCTAACGCTCTGTACGGACTATCTGCAGTTTATCATCCGAAGCCTTTCCTGCACAACCACCAACGAACCCCGTGTAGACGGTGCATGAGGGCCGAGAGGAGGAGGAAGGACACTGGGAGGCAGGGCCAGAGCCCAGAGCAGCAGGAGGCTGAGCCAGGCTGCAGGGGAATTTAAAAAAAAAAATATATAATTCAAATACTGTAAACTGTGATATACCTATAGCCCAAACTCCCTTAAATCTTCTCTTATTGTTGCTTCTCTGTGAGAAACAAGCAACAAGGGCTTGCAGTGGAAAAGGTTATGGTCAAGGGCAACAAGCTCAGCACAAACACGCTGGAACTCGCCATCCAGCGTGAGGGGAGGCCGCGCGCCGTTCCTTCTAAAAATAGGCAAGAAGGAAAAAACACAGAACAAAAGTGGCCCCGTTGTTGTGCGCTCCTCAGCGAGGCAGGAAGTGAGGGCTTAAGACAAATCGCCAGCTGCTTCTCACAGGCAAGGGCAGGCACAGAACTTGGGATGGGAGAGGGAATGTGGGACCTGCCCGTCCCCAAGGTCGGATTTTCTGGAGACCAGAAGCTGTTCCAGCCCTAAACGTCTCCGTACCTGGGAAGATGTAGACGACTGTAAACAACAGTTGCAAGAGTTGTGCAGGAGCACCACCTGATGATCAGTCAAGGGCAGTATCCCTTTTATTCACTCACGGCTATTCTGGAAATTAATTGTTCAGTTAGGCAAGAAGTTCCCCAAGGGACCTGAGGCCGCGTGTTACCTGGTGTGCCAATGAGCAGGCTCCTGCTTAGTTGGCTACGCCTGTGTTGAAACCCAATGGCTTAAATGAGCTTTTGTTGGTATATTACCTGTACTAATATTTCAGTATGAAAGCCAAATTCTCCCTGCCTTCGCAATTTTTCCCTGAAACAAACCTCGGTGTTACTACCACCCTTCCGCAGGGCAGCCTTACCCAAGGTCACAGAGGTCCGAAGATCCAAGAGAAACTTCCGCTAAGTTTTCTGTAACAAATCTGATTCACACCTAAACCGACACGCGCTTTGCAGCAGGACTTCACAAGCACTTTGCTCCCCGTCCCTGTGCCAGGCAGGCAGCAGGCAGAACCCGCTCGCAGGGGGCTGCACTGGCTGTCTCGAGGGGAGCGCGTGTTCCCAACGCCTGTGCTGGTCACTCGTCCCCATCCAGGGCACCCCGAAACGCCAGGACCCACACGGTTTGTCGAGGTGAAATCAGCATCTCCAGCGCTAACGCAGGCGCCAGTTGTACTTCTGAGAACACCTGAATTTTCTTCCTTTTCTCAGAGCCTCTGGAGCTTTTCCAACACTCGCGCCTTACCTGTCATGCTTGTTCTCTTGTGCTGCTCGCAGCAGCTCCTGGATGTTCTTAGTGATCTGCTCAGTTTTCCGAATCACGTCTTCTGTACTGGGCAAACTGGAGCTGGGGGCTGTGTCTGCGTCTTCAGGGATGGATCCCTCCCCCTGCCAGATGACGCTCCTCTGCCGGCCCTTCCTGCCTGACCTGCAAAGAACAAAGCTGAAGTCAGCCCTGTGGGACAGAACCGGCTGCTCTCACAACTCCCCGTCCCAGCAGCGCAGAGCTGAGCCATCAGCTCTGCCTCACGACACCTACCCTGTCTCCTCCAGCTCCGGGGGGGCGGTGGGGTTATCATAGTCACTCTCGGACACGCTGCTCTGCTTCTCCAGCTTTGAGGCCTGCAACGAATAGAGATTTATTTTAGCGCTGTGCAGGACAGAAGAGCCCCGAGCTGTGCCAGCGCCACGTCCCGCAGACTCGCTCTTTAGCACGACAGCCCCTGTGTTGGCCGCTGGCCTGGAGCCCGGTGTGTCCCCCACCCTGTGCCACGCTCCTGCTGCCACCTTGCACCCAGGCCTTGGGCGCTGGGTGCCGGACCCGAGAGAAGGGCTCTGCCCTGGCACCCCGCAGAGGGACAGACAGCCACAGCACCGCATCCTTCCCGGCCACGTTGGCACGTAGGGGCAGGCCCACAGGGGAGCAGAGGCCGAACGGAGAGAGCAGGACTGCCAAGGAGAAATAGAGGCCAGACCAAGAACAGGAGGCCCACAGCAGATTGGAGGCTAGACACAGTGCAGGAGGCTGAGCACAGAAAGGAAACCAAACTGAGCATGGGAGGCTGGAAGGAGCATTGAGGCCCAGCGCAAGGCAGGAGGCTGACCCAAGTGTGGGAGGCTCACGGCGGAGCAGGAGGCTGGACTGAGCATGGGAGACCTGTGGCAAAGTAGAGGCCGAATCAAGCATGGAGGTCTGACCCGGGCATGGGAAGCCCACTGCAGGATGGGAGACCAAAACAAGGGCTGAGGGCCTGGCAACGGGAAAGCAAAACCAAAGACAGGAGATGGAAACGTTGGCGGGAGGCCCACTGCAGAGTGGAGGCCAAACTGCAGGTGGAAGATCAAAGGGCACGGACGAGGCCGAACTGATAAGACATGGAGCTCGTTGCAGATTGGAGGCCAAAATGGGGAGAGCTGAGGCCCACTGAGCACCTGAGTGATACAAGGTGGGGAGGCCAAGTGAGAGCTGTGGCCCATAGCAGGGTGTAGGATGAAACAAGGGTGGGAGGCCTAACCGTCAGGGGTAGAGGGCCACTGAAAAAAGGGTGTCAAAATGAGGATGGGAGGCCAATTCCAAAGTGGAAGCCAAAATGAGGGCAGGAGGCACACGAGGAAGTGGAGGCCAGACTGAGCCTTGGAGGTCCACTGTAAAGTGGGAGGTTGAACAAAGAGTGAAGGTTGAATGAAGAGCGGGATACTAAAACGAGCTTGGAGGCCAAATCCACAGCAGAGGCCGAACCCAGAGTGAAGGCCCACAGCGGAGTGGGAGGTCAAACCTCGAGCGGGACCCGTGAGGATGGCGAGGTCAAACCTCGAGCGGGACCCATGAGGATGGCGAGGTCAAACCCCGAGCGGGAGGACCATGGCAGAGGGAAGGCCCCACCGTGGAATGCTGCTCCAGAGGGTGGAGAATACAGAGCCAGAGGCCAAGAGTCTTCCTGCTCTCCCCTTTGTATGGCGTTCCCTGAGGAGATACAGGGACCGTGTCCACACCAGGAACTGGTGCACTGCCCATTCCCTGCCTCTGAGCACACACGCTTCTTCCTAGAGACTGGTTCCACACCCCAGTAAAGCATCCAATCCACCTGCAAGGATGATACTCAGGTTTTTTTTCCTAAACACCTTTTCTTTTTTTTAACCCCCTCAGACAGCTGCTAACACAAGTGAACATACTTGCACCATGACAGTTCAAGAGTGCTCTCCCTGCAGATGCTAACAGACAGCTCCCTCCGTCAGCAAGATTCAAAGTTCCCTTCAAAGTTGCCTTGGGTGGTTTATGCCCAGGCAGTGGAACATCCTGTGGGTTTACGCTCTGAATATCTCCTGTCAGGCTGATCTGCAGTTCCCAGGAATCTGCAGACTGAAGCCCCGAGGCACACACACTCCTGTGCTCAGCCAGGATCACCACACACCCGCCTACTCTAGTCTTAAAAATTGCAGAGCTCATCACAAGTGCCTACTACAGCTCGTCCATTTGCAAGTACACCACATTGGTGCCACTCCACATACAGCTCAGTCTGCACCAGCTCCTGCCTCAGGCACAGGCACAGCTCACGTAACAGGGTCCTTCACAACCTCCGTTCAAGAACCATCCTTGGAACTCTACAGAAGCTCTGAGGTCAAGATGAAGGGATCTTAAGTGTTAAGACTGTAAAGGACACCTCCAATTTGCATCCCTGATCCATATGCTTTGGAAATAATGCTTGTACCTTGAGGACAGATCAAAAATGTGACTCGGAATTGTTTTTTGTTGGTTAAGATCCAGTATGTTTGCTAAGCACTCATCTGATGTTAAAATCAACAATCCTTAGCTCTGAAGCACCCGGAGTTACGACCATTTTCCGTCCATTTTAAAGTTACTCTGCACAGAAGGAAGAAACAAGCATATTTTGAAGGCTCGCCTCTCAGCATAGCTAGTAAAAGTGACACATATTTTGAAGATATGGAACTATTACATGTAGGGTCTGACCTTTCCCTTCTCTAGGATGTACAGAGAACAGTACGATTAGTGACAAAGCTCTACACTATGGTCAGGAACACAAATGACAACAATGAATTACAAGAACAGGATGTTATGGAATCTGTAATGGAATCAATGTACAATAAGAACAAACCACCCAAACTTCTAAAAGTTTCCAGTACTGCACAGCACTGATACCAGCTGCAGCCAAACCCAGATCTGCACTCCACCGAGCAGGATATGCCCTTGTAAGTTTTATCATTCAGTCCTACTTGCAAATCAAACACTTACTCAATTGATCTGTTCAAACACTGCACAGTCAAAATAAAATGGGGACGCAGGATTTAAAAAGCAGGCTACCCTGGCAGGAAGAGGCCTGAGTATGACCATTCAACATCTAAATGCAAAAAAATTAGGGTTTTTGAAAATGTCAGTGTTCTATAGTAAAATTTGATCAGAGACTCTGCTATGCTTGTCCAAGAAACAGAACAGTACTGATTATATTAACCACGCAGAAAAAGCAGAGCAAGAAGGGAAAACTTCTCTTGAAAAACCTTTTCAAAATCAGTTAAGTCTTAAAAAGAAATATTTCTCAAGTTTACTCTCATAAAGTCTTAACACAGAAATAAGCAAAGCCTAAATCCTGAGCATGTAATACAACAAAATGGGTTTAAGCTACTCATTATTTTCTAAGAAATGAGACATAAACATCTAAAACCAGCCCAGAGGACCTTATATTGATATTTGCTTCAAAGCTAAATAGGTTTAGTCAGAGCAAGACCTCAAAATGCAGTCGACTCATCCTGAGGATGGAGGGTACTTCGTGCAAGCAGTGCAGGCCCAGGCTGGCCAGAGCTGTGTATAAGCTACGGGTGTTCATCCCCAGCATTTGTTAGTCTGGGACACGCTGAGCTCAACCTGCTCAGGGTCCTTTACTGCAGCCACAGCCCCTTCACAGCCAAAAATGGATGTTACTCTAAAGATGCAAATGCCACGTGCTTCTCCCTTCTTTTGAATATGTAACTTGCAATTAGTTCAAGGATCCCAAATAAAACCTAGTCCGAAAAGAAGCTCTTGTGGACAGACTAGTCTATCAAACTGTCTGCCTTGCTAAACGTGTCCTTTTGCAAGGTGACACTTTATGCTCACTTCTAGCAAATGAATTTGAGTAAGACTGGACTTAAGTGTCCCACTACAAAAAGAGAACAATGTTTAAAAAAAAGTTTAAGAAGCTGGACAAGGCTTCTTCAAATAGCTGCTAGCTCACATATGAGGCCACAGCAAAGACAGTGGCTCTGGAATAATAAAATCTTACAGAATGCTTTTTGGTAACACTGCAATTTTTTCTGTAGAGTCAGTACTGCACCTAACAAAACCCCTAAGAACAAAGTTTTGTAGATCCTGATGGAAGACCAATATAGGCTTCCTTTATAGACTCTCAGTGTCTTTAATCTTGCCCTGAAAGGAATCCTGCTAAAAACAAGGCCTATGCCCGTTCAGTCTTCTGTCTCTCAAGGTCAGCAGAAAACAGGTGATGCTAAATGTACGGGTGGGCAATATGAACTGTGCTGTCTGGACGCTTAAAGAACTCGCTTCAAACAAACCAATGAACATCTGTAAAACAAACGGTCCATCAGTACCGATGTGGAGAGGTGCAGACTGAGAGCCCCCAAAGGAAGCAAGCTTCATAGAGAGGGGCCAGCGAGCTTCGTACGCCTCATGCAGTGCATTTCAGTCAGTAGGAAGAGTTATATATTGGCTAATGAATTACCAGAAAGTGCCTGCCAAATTACTTTCCATGCAGCAACCAACTCATCTCCTGGCTGCTTTCAGTGTTACGCAGTTGAACAAGTAATCTGGAGTAACTGTGCACGGTGTTAAATGCTAAAGATTTCAGCTGTCGTGACGTTAGAGAGAGGCACGTATCCCACAGCGTGCGGCAGAAGAAATGGAAAGTGAGGAAATGCTGCTTCATGCAAGCATGAAGGCTAGTCAGCGTCAAAGGGGAGAAGACAGAGGCATAAGGGCTTCCAGGGAGATTGCCACCTCCTCCAGGTAAAAGACCAATTGGGAAGGTACTTAACCCTTCGTGTGCTTTCATCCCTTGACCAGGAAAGCGTGGAGGGGAAGGAAGGTAGAGATGAAGAGGAGGTCACAAACGCACTCCTCCCGATCTAAAAATGGGAAAGAGAAAAACACTCGGGAAAACCAAAACCAAAACACAAATAGATTCTTAACTGAAACAAAAGGAACATTCTTAAAACCATGGAGATGACATAAAGCAAGAATGATTTTGAGAATTTGACTAAGCCTGAGTGGACTTAATTCTTTCAAAATACAATTGACTTCATGTTAATCCCAATATTGATATTCCAGAGGTGCTCAATTCCACAGATAATAAAATACATTTACCATGATACCAAAGGAACCAACTCCACACAGCAAGTCAATGCTTCACAACCGTGACTTCTAACCAAATTTCAACCCAAATGACCAAAGGACCTATACAAAGCACTGTCATGTTTTGCAAACGTTGCCATATACAAGACAATTCTGACATTTCTTGCTGCCAGAACCACATTTATATCAATATGCCAATATAATTTTAAATTATCCAGATTTCATCGTTTAAATTCTTATTGATTTAATCGAAGGCAGGGAAAAACCCAGCATAAATTTCTGCGCCGATTCCCTGGTGCACTCAACTGTCATCTCTGGAATGCGTGTGGAACATCTGCCCTCCCTCACGCCAGGCAAAAAACCTGTTAACTTCCAAATATGTTTTAAAGGGCTTAATTCTTTATCTGGAAGGAAATATAAGATAGTGCAACCAACAGGGAAACACATTGAAAGAAATCCACAAATGTTAAATACATGCCTAAAAAAATACTGTCCCATATTCCTGCCCACGGGGCAATCTAAAAAAGATTCAACAAAAAAAAAAAATTAATAAGCACTAGTGTGTTCACTTGTCTAAAACGTGAACAAGTCAGTGCCAAGATCCTTGTGGCTAGCACAGAACTCCCTCTCCACTAGCACCACATCATACAGAAAAATACGAAGCCAGAGGAATTTGTTCTACTGACAGACCTACACTATCTTCAGCCTCCAATTCCACAGTCCAAATAAGAAATTGGTGGCCTAGTGAAAATTTAACTTCAATTTTATTTCAGAAAGGTGGTTCTGAAGTTCCACGAACTGGCACGTGCCTGTGTATCTCAAGAAAGAAATCCATGAACTTTACCTACCTTCTTGGAATACTATTTATTTTTCCCCCTTCTGGTTTTCAAACAGCCACACATTGATATTTGGCATATATACTGTGGTTAAAAGAAACAGCTGAGCAGAAGCCAAAAGCTCCAGTTTACATATTCCAGAATTGTTATAGCTTTTACTTTTCAAAACATCAAGCTCCCGCAGACATGTTAATACAGCAAACATTAACAACTCTTACAGTTCAAATTCCCTCCAAAGCGGACAGTTGAGCAGCTTTGGTAAGCCAGTGTAGTTGGAATGGACAGAAAAGCTGAACATAAGAAATGCAGAAGCATCAGCAGTTTTACTTACATGTGGAGGGAAAGGCTGCAGTCTTGTTATGCTTTCTTCTGGGTACGTGACCTCTCCCATGGGGAGGTAGGGTTTCTGACCCGATCCAGTCTCATACATGGACATGGGTCTGCTACCCCGCGCAGACGGTCGCCGCTTTAAAGAAGAATTGTTGGTGGGGTCTGTGTATTCAGAACCACTTTGGACCTGATATATATTGGTTGTGGCCTGTCTTCTGAGGTTGGTATTTTCACTCTGTAGCGTTTGAAGCTGAAAGAAATGTTGAGCAGTGGGACTTTGTTTTTCTAACAGCAAGCGTCAAAAGCAAACTGACTGTACAATACACGCTTGTCAGCTTTACTAGTGAATCGTCACTAGGAGCTGGGGTTTGATTTCATTTTCAAGGTCTACTTGACTTGCTCAGTATAAGCACAGAAACATCTACGTTCCAGGTCTGAAAATACTGATGTGCTGATTTCCAGCACTTTTTGCTGGGATGCAAGCTAAAGGAGATCTTAAAATTGGTTGTTGTAGTTAAAAAACACACAATCCATTTCTTCCAGCCTGGCTGTACTGGCACGTGAATTGTGTCATATAAGGAGGCTGTGGGGGGAAGGACTGCCAACAAAACAGTTTTTCAAGCACAGTAACCCATTTCAGCAGTCAGTACAGGAATTTAAGAGGACTTTTAACATAAGGCCCATGAAATCTGAAAATGCCAGAACTACAGCAGACACCAGAGGCAGCGCAAAGAAAACTAGAGCTTGCTCTGCAAAGCAAGAAGAGAGTTTAGCTTATGAAAATGAAGTATCAGCTACTGCTTTCTAAGAAGCCAACAAGAAATAATTTGAGAGCTTTTTATTATTATGTATTTGATGGATAGTAAAAATGCAACAATTCTGATTTTTTTTTTTTTTGGTGGAGTTACTTGGAATAAGTTTGCTATATTAACACATCATAAAGAAAAGATGTACAAAAAGTCAGTATCAGCAATTCTCTAACAATAATTTATAATATTTTAAAACAGCTGATGGCCTTTTAAACAGGAAATTGCATGTTTACTATTTGCATTTACTTTGCATCATATGAACCTTCAAGAACATTATCCAAAAAAAAAAATATTTTATTTTGCCTAGAGCAATTCCCAGAACCCTAAATCCAATGTGCAGACTTCTATCAAGATGATTTATGCTTTTTCTCCCCACTTTCTGTGTACTCTGGAGTGAGACATCTTAAGATTTGAGGATCAGCCAGGAGCCAAGCTACTACTTTAAAACATTAGAGGCAATTCTAAACTTTGTAGTCTCCTTCTTTCAAACTTCTCCCACATTTTATAAACTTGCTTTTGTTGTAGTTTTAGCTAATGGCTGATGTAAACTCAGACCAAAATCTTAACGACCTATAAGAACCTAAAAAAAAATCCGTAGGCACAAAAAAAGAAATTTTTCCCATGAGAATGCCCATTAAAGTTAACGGAAACATCTTCATTTTTATGTAGGAAGAATCTACTCTAAAGTGGCATTCATCAAGTGCCTCTTCTTTAATTAACATCTTTTGCTTCGGAATTGCCACGCAAAAGTTTAGATACACAGTTGGCTAATACGGTGATACATGCAGTGGATAATTTTTCGCAGTTTATGAACTCCTAAGCCCTTGCTTAGAAAAGAAAAATGAAAAAGACTACTCTTGAATGACTTCTAACGCAATAGATTTGCTGAAGTAGTACAAATACGTTGGTGTCTTGTCACAAAAGACCCAGCAGAGAGTTCCCAGGTTGTACTGAAGTTTCCAGTAGGTCAGAGCTGAGACAGCTGTCACCCTGCCTCCCACCCTGCACTGGCGCAGGGCTGGGTCCATTCCTCGCCCATCTCGGGGCCACTAAACCCCGGGTTAAAGCAGCCCCATGGTTATACACATCATCAGGACATAAAATTAGTGCAACTCATCTCCAGGGTGAACCAGCCCTGCCTATGCCATCTTTCAAAACAAGTTCAGCTGCAGCACAGCAATGATCTCTCTTCTGCTGCATCACATAAATCTACTAGAGTCTCTCATCAATTCATAAACCCTGAAGATTTTTTTTAATCCTAAACAGACTACATCTGTTTAAAGAAACTTAGTAGAAGTGAAAAGTTAATTCAACTGATGCAGAGAAATGCTTAACCAGCACAAGCTGTTAACAGACCAAGGAAACACCCCGAGATCTCTGAGGTTCCTCTCAGTATTCACCATTCCAATAGATGTGGGAGGCCGGACACGACTGTAAGAGAAGGATGGCACTTAACAGAGAGAGAGAGATTCCAATCTGCTGAATCAGCTTGGCCTCAGATGCTACGAGCTCAACAGTTCCCACCACTCACCAAATCACCAGCCTCCCTGCCCCAAAACAACGGGGAAATGAGCTCTCAGCACAGGTTCGCCGCTGCGGGAGCACAGCTTGAGCAGCCTCCGCAGGGAGGGAGCTTTCTGCAGCACTTACTGTGACCCTTGCAGTAATGCCGTTATTTGGAAAACAGGATTTTTAACTCTAGGTAAAGGAATTCATTTGAGGAAGCAGCCAGCCCATGCTAGGCTAGATGACAGACAGGACAGTGAACTCAACACAGACATAAAATTCTCCTTTACCCCACAAAAATCTCTATTTACCAGAACACTGGCAAAGCATTCAACAAACTGTGGATTTGTTTATCTAAGGATTAGAAAGCCTTGCTGCCAAACAGGTTTTTTTTTGAGCTTTAAAGTAAGGATTTTATCAAAAATAGTCAGTTTTCTGTTTACATAAGACTATCTATACACAATAACCCATATTGTAAATGAGGTATTTCTACCTTATCCTCCTCCAGACAAAACCCACACTGAAGGTTTAAAGCAGTAGTTGAGTTTACCCCTATATCTTTTTATGTGCTATTTCCCACGGATTCAAATGCAAGCAAAGAAAGAAATTCTTGGCCTCCTGGTATACAAAAACTTTATATTGTATTGTCATATTCCAGATTATTTTCTACTGCCAAACCGGATTGGAATTTTTTTATTTCCCTTCATTCCAACTAGGCTTATTAATGGAAAAAACCCTAAAACTGGGAAAGTTGGAAGTACATTATATGGATACATGCACACACGTAAGATGTGTGCTAGCACTTACTTTCTCCTTGCTGAAAGCCGCTTATCTTGAAGCAAGACAACGAAAACGTACAAGACTCGCAACAACTGTCTCGCCACTTGGAAAAACTGATGTCAAAGTGAACTGAGCAGATCATCATCACCCCCACAAAAACACATTCCAAAGATCTGCTGCACCCATACATTTAGTCTCATCGGATTCCAAAGCAGCTCCGTTTTAAAATAAGTTCTCTCGCTATGCTGATATTGGGTTATTGCATCCTCAGGTTCAGCAGTTTTATTCTGGTCAAGTTAAAACACATCAAGAAATGAAGGGGTTACACTGTTGTGCCTGTTACCTTTTTCTGCATGATTCTCAGCTCATCGCTCAAGTTGATGTTCACTTTCATTAACTGCTGAATCTTTACCTCAGAAGCCACCAATGCATTTTTAACTTGCATATATTCTTGGGCTGTCACTGGTCCATCTGACAAGTCTGAATCCAGGCTCTGCAAACAGTAAGAGAACAAATACTTACACCCCTGAGAAACAGATTACCAAAGGAAACAAGACAACGAGATTGCAACAGCTTTTCATATACTTAAAGGAATCATGGTTCAAATTAATAAGATCCATTCATTACAAAAATTTTAGTCCAAGCACAAAAACATTTCTCTCAGCATTTCAGTGACACAATAGCATCCATAAGGATTTTTTATTTTTTTTAAAATATGAAATAAAGAACTGGAAAGTCATAAAAGGCAGACTACTAAACATCCAGTGTGCATGTCACCAGGGAAGATTAAACTAGAACTATTAGGTTTACTGCCCCCTTTTTACTATGCTGCATTATTTTCAGGAAAGGTTTAAAACACTCAGTCACTATCGGTCTGCTGTAAATATTTCTTCAGTAGAAAGCAGTAAATATTTGTGAAATACCATAGAATCACTGATTAAGAGTGTTCTGGCAAGTCAAATTATTTCATTGGCGCAATCAGATCTATATCTTAACTCCAGACACGCACAGTGGCACACATTACTTTTCTAGAGGAGCACTTCATTTACAGTATAAATTCCTAAAGTCACAAGACTTAATTCTGTTAAAGTTCACAGACTGAGGCATGATTCTGAAATGAGTTTGAAAACGAAAATATACATTTTCTGATCATTTATGCATGTCAAATCCCCTCACAAGGGGAACGATTCACTGCAGATTACCTTTATAAATAAAATTTGGTGTGTGTATATAAGTATTTCAAACCTACCTTCTGTCTGTTTGATTTAGCTGCATTTGTTTCCAGATCTGTATCTTCATCTGAAGCGACGCTGTCATAATCAGGCTGGTCATTATCCTGACTTTCATTACTATGTTGATTGCTGATTGATTTGAGTATCAGTTCCACGTTTTCTGTGGATCAATATACGCCATTTAACAATGTACCAGTAAGTTTGGAGAAGAAATAGAAGTGCATACTTTAAAGTAATTAAAAAAAAAAAAATCAGAAAAGATCTGAAGCAAGACAATACAAGACGTGTCATAATAAAGTACCACTTGAGTAACCCAGTTCAAAAAAAAAAAAAAAAAAAAAATTATTTACATCCACTTAATAGGTATGGATTATTACTGGCTAAAACAAAAAGACAAAGCCATAAAACTTTGACATTTTCTGTGTTTGTACAAATTAAAGTGATGAGAATCATGCTTTAGCAGCTTAATAAAATTCACGTAAGGGGGAAAAATCCAGAACAGACCACACTGAATAAATGGATGTCAACATTCAACTGAAAAACATAGGCAAAAATTAAAGGTTAGAAAAGGGTTTGTATTTTCTCTCCAGAGGGAGAACTAGTGTTTAGCTATTGTTCCATAACATCACGGCTAGAACTATGGCTCTGTCTGGCTGTTGGCATAGGTATTTGTATTCTTTGATATGTATTGTAATCAAGAAATATAGAAAGTAGACATTTTTAGGCAAATTAGCAATAAGCTCAGGAGTGTCTACATTACAGCAAAGTGCTGTGTGTAGGAGCAGCCAAGAAAGTCAACGTCTAAACCACCAAACATTACCCCAGCCACCAATCAAAAGCAGCATCACTCTGGAACTGTACAGCAGTACTCCGGAAAATTTTGCCAAGTTATCATAAAAATCACAACCCCCATAAAAAGATGCTCCTGAATGGCACATATGCCATTTGGTTGAACTGCATTACAAATACCAACCTTAAAAGGCAAATTTCCTGTACTCAGGCATTATTTTGGTGGCCTAATACATGTTGTCAATAGCCTGCTATCCACATGATCCAGTTCTTATCATTTATGAAATAGTATAAATCTCTTTCTTCATTCATATACTCTTCTGAATGAGGCTACAGTATCATACTGGAAAATTGCACATAGAAGAGCCAACAAGCAAAAATATCCCCACCTTTTGAACCAGTGAGAGGATTCCCCTGTTGTCTCCGTTTGGCATCGCTTAAAATATCTATAACGAGCGTAGCAAATTCATGGGCATTGAATCGAGCCAGCTTCTGTCTTCCCTGAATTACAGAACAATGCAGAAATAAAAGCAGTACATCATGTATTAGATGAACACCCGAGTCCCCAGGTAGAATCAAGACTACAACACTCAGAGTGAGCCAATTGTTTAATCACAAAGTGTGATTTAAATTATCCAGGTGCACACTCCAGGCCAGGGGAAACATGAAACTGTTTTAACCTCTCTCCAAGGAGATGCAACTCTTCTACAGTGATGAAGTACAGTAAAGCAATATTACTTAGAATACCTGGCCTATTAAATATAGTTTTGCAGTATTAAGAAAATTGCATACCTGATTCCTAGTTGAGGAATATTCAGGATTTACGGGAAGAAAAGGGACAACTGTGGTCTCTGTCACAAGAGTGCTATGATTCTGAGTAGCAAGCCAAACTGCTCAGGGAAGAAAAAAAAAAAAAAAAGAGGAAATAACCTTCCTGTACTATTTGACAGCGTTTCTTGTCAGAGAATAAAAGACCACAATTTCAAACACAAACACAATCAATTCAAAGGAAGGCTCTTTTCCCCAGAGGGTTTTCTACTTTGTAAAAAAACCCCAAGATTTTTTCAAGTAACATCACCTTCAGACAATGCAAGACAAAGAAACTACCATTATCAGTAATTACCGAATACAAAAATACTTTAAACAGAACATATGCTTGCACTAGCATCTTGTATGTAAGGTAACAACTCCGATTTATTTCATACGCATTCCAGAAAGCCTCATTCACCTGCATCTGTTTCCCTCCTGTCAACTTCATCGTACACGTCCATGGCAAGTTCTTCAAATAAGTGGTTGCTTAGCTAAGGGTAGAAGAGAGTAATTACAGCTTGAAAATAAACACAACCAGAAAGCTGAAGGCAAGCAGTAACATTTAACATACAGATTTATATAAAATACAAGAAAGCAGGACAAACAGCAAAGTTTAAGGCTCTGAACCGGTGAGACAAACCTACAGACACCACCCCAAACAAGACCAACAAGTATTTGCTCTCTGTCATGGATCTGTCGTCATCTCTGCTCCTCCATTTCTGCCTATTTTCATGTTTTTCTCTGAACTTCTAACTTGCTACAGTGTTGACATTTATTTGTGCAGGAATTAATAGCAGCTGAAGCCAGCTTGAAAGATGAAGTGCAGAGTTTGCCACGTCCAGACAAAGCTGCGTCACACAGCACGCCGGCAGCTTTACTTACAGACTGAAGCTTCTTCTTAGCTGCTTTGGCAAGTTCTGATAAATCTAGACTGCTATGAAAAAAAAAAAAGTGATCATTACATCTACAGCATTTCATAGCCTGCTTATACACAAATTCCACACTGTGATAATTCAATGACTAAAATGTCACTTATTTGAAACTCATCAATCTTTTAGCATTTTTAATATAGTTTTGAACACAATGATCTTACTAATATTGCTAATATACCAACTAGTATAATTCCTAAGCTTTTCTAAACAACAATCTTAAATTTAAAACAAAAGAATCCCCAAAACCCTTTGGAATATCAATACCCACATTTGCATAGCTCAAGAAGCAGCGAAGCTGGAGTGCAACAAAATGCTTTCTGTAAGGAATCGGAACAATACGATCATTCTGACCACAGCTCGAGCCCACAGAAAACACCCAGGATTTGTTCCACTGGACTCTGCAGGAGGTAGGGGACCATCAGGCTGGAAAATGGCTACAGCAACAGGGCCATGCTTAAGATTATTCTGTACTGATTAGTAAATAATCTCTTCTACTGGTTTCCAGCCTTGAACACGAGGCACAAGATGGAAATTGTGCAGTTCAACAGTTTATCATAAGATCACAGACCAGGAAGCTGACAAATTTTGAGTCCATATTTATATCACCCAGGGGAAGACTCCCCTGACCTACAAGGATGGAAGGGCTCAAATAAAACCTCCGTGTGATTAACTGACATCACAGAGTTTGTGTAGCCAGTCACCTCGACGAGAGAAAAAAAAAAAAAAAAAAAAAAAAGGTAAGACAGTCAGGCTGAGCTGCAGGCTCTGCAATCTGAGCAGCATCTTTGAACGTCTCCTCTGCAGGACAACTTCCTTCTCTGTGTATGAGGCAAACAATACCTGCTCTGCAAAATACTATGCCCTGAAAATACACAGTACCTTATCCAATAGCTAAACATGGCAGATCTAAAACAAAAATTACAGATTTTAACGCTATTTTACCAACTACTACTTTAAATAATAGTTTCAGTTTTTCATAGCAATTCTGCAAGCAATAAGTTGAACAATAGTTTACTTACAGCCGTCTTATTTCCAATTGCACAGCAACAAAAGAAACAGGGACGATTAATACTTGGTATGTTTTATACAAGTATGATTTCATTGATTGTAAAGAAAAGTTAAAAGCACTCGGACGATCCAAAGCATAAATATTTTTGGAGAAAAATGCAGCTTCCTTTCAAGCATTAGTTTCAAAACGCTCTATCAGGAAACTAACTCAACTGGTCCTTATATTATTTACAAAATCTGTTTCCCAGGAATTCCCATGGGTGTTCCCTTAATAGAACTGTCTCACCTTCCCCCTGCATTTTAATAAATATAGTAAAAGTCTACAATTTTCTGGTTTTGTTTAAATAACAATATTCTTTCTAGAAAAATAAAAGGTGTCCAAGATTGGTAAGGGTGCACATTAAAAAGTCAGAATGACACCAAGCTTAAAAGTTGTTTCAGAAGGGAAAGGAAACTTAATTATTAAGTTTATTTTTGATGTTTTCAGACAGGCCATGGAAATCAGCAACTTACCTGTCTGCCATCTGAGGTATAACAAAGTGCTGTCCATTTTTATGCTCTAGAGTTGAAAACAAATTGCGCTTTAATAGGTTGTTATTGGACTGTAATTTTCAGTGTTGTCAGGATATACGGCTGGTATTCAGTTTTACTAAAAGACACAGTAATGAGAAACCCAAGAACATACGCAACAGGCAAACAGAATAATCCATCTGGCGTATAATTACTCAGTTTCCAATTATAGGAACCTAGCAAGTCTTAAAAGAAGGTTCCTACCCCAATTTCCTGGTGTTAAAGATTCCAATTACATCCTATCAACTGTACTAAAATTCCGTTTAAAAAAAAAAAGTTCTAACATAGGTGCCTTTATAGCACCTAATGGCTAAAAATTTTTAAGTGTGCTCGTGTTCAAAAGGTACCTTACTTAATTGAATACTCCACTTTAATGAGAAAAATCTATGTAAAAGAGTTCCTACGCTACCTCCTGCAGATTATTCAACATTCACAAAATGTCTGTTCTCCCTGCAATTCACTCCTTGAAGTTAAACAGTACTCATCTGATCTTAAATGTAGGTTTCTCCACGCTTGCAGGGGTGTGCCATTTATAGAACATTTGTGAAAAGACAGAAAGAAACTTAATTTTAAGCTTAAGTATACTTACAATCCTGCATTTTATCTGTATTTTTAAATGCATTATCACAATCTTACAGCTTATACTTTCTTCAGTTCTTCCTACATTATTTACATGATGTTAGTATATTTGACAAATTGCAATAACACTGACACAAACATTATATATCATTGTTTGAACTGTCCTATAATCAACAGATTTCAGAGTGCGTTGTTTTTTTTTCTACTTACCTGGTTTCCTGCCACAGAGATAGAAAGCTAACCTGTCTGTGAGTTCATACTGAATTTCCACCAGGCGCTCTGCCAGGTCATGATGGCCACCTTGTCTGGTTTACACACACACACACACACACACACACACACAAAAAAAAGTGACATTAGTCATTCATTTTGAGACGTACAAAACATTCAAGAAATGGTCAGAGCAAGAGACGTAGTACAAGTCGCCATTCGACACTGCACACGTTTGAGCGTATCAACACAGCACTGACTCACAGCAGGATTTCCAACAGTATGTTCCAATGGGCAAGAAACTATAAGTAAACTTTTATGAACTTCCCAAAAATGAGGCAGTGAAAACTCTGAAAGCCTTTGCCTACTGCTTTGCTCTAGAAAAAAAAACAGATCATACCGGCCATCTTAAACTACAGTTTCTTAGAAATCACCCAACTTCACATTTGATTAATAGCACTGAGAAACAGAAATATTCTGGCATATTGTATTCTGCAAGCAAGTGGATTTATTCAGTCTTCAGATTCCATCTATGGCCTCAATTCAAAAGCAGAGCAATGAGGATTTTTTTATTTACACAAATGTGCAGCTTCTAGTCAATTAGTCATGTCCAATTTTGCATATCAACACAAAAAAATCCTCAACGCTGTGCTGTAAGTCTTGCAGAGCCTCATTACTGCCCAAACAATCAGCAGACACATTCACATTTAATCCTGACACTGACGCTGTCTGCCCGGGGGGAGGCCTAGAGCTTTCCCGAGGGTGCAGCTGATGCAGTGGATGCACATAACAGTTCACTGTCACTAAAAAGCCTGGTTCCACCCCCTGCTCCCGACCCATCTGGGCAGTCCAGACCTTTCCTACAGCAATTCCCTACAGTTAATCTCCACCCCGGTCTACTCAGTTTGCTGAGCTTGCAGAAACTCTTTTCAGATCACTTTTCTGTGAGCTGCTAGATCGGCATAGCCTGTTTCACTGGGATCAGAACTGTTGTCTCAAGCATCCAGGAGAATACAGGCTATGAAATAATGAAAATGCTTATTTATACTCTTTATGCATTTGCTCTTTCTGGAAAAAGTACTTATTAGCATTTAACAGTCAATTATTTTCAGGACAGAAACATATCTAAGCAGGTTTACCATGCGATTTATGAACATCAGTTAATACAGAAAAACATCACAAATGTCAGAGCTTTCTACCTTGCACAGTCAACTGGAGTTTTTCCATTGGAATCTTGCGTGCCGGGATCAGCACCATAAACTGCTAATAATTCTGCTTGTAAAGTCTGTCCTGCCTTAGCAGCAACGTGGAGTGGGGTGTTTCCTTTCTCCTACAAGTTAAGAAAAATAGCTACTTAATCAACAGGTCTGAGTAGAAGATTGAAATATAATGCATTATCAGCTGAAATCAGTATACATATTACAATCAATTCTTACAGTTTGCATCTCAAAATAATGAAAAAAACATTCATACAGGATGAAAGAAGTTGGCTTGAGCTCCCAAGGAGAGCAGTCGCAAACACGTCTCCAGATTCCCTGTCCTTACACTGGAATGGAGTTGCTGAAAAAGAAGCAGAATTGTCCTTAAGACAGTGGCAGTAACTATGATTCAGCATTTGCTTTTTCAGCCGTGCTTTTAGAAATGGGTATGCCAAAATTCTTGGGACAGCTGTTTTGTGTAAATGCTTTTCTCCAAGTTAACCTAAATTGATGCCTCTCAACCATCCACATCTCCAGTATCCATAGATATTACCCAAAACAAGCGGCTTCAAGTTGAAGACACACTATATTTGTTTACGTAATAGTGCTGAAGAACAGCAATAGTTATCTCAAGTCAAAAGCAACTAGTTTAATTCAGTCAGATTTCACTGTTACACACAAGTTGCAGTTTCCGCAGACTGCCAGAAAAAACATACTAACCTTACTGAGATCTTTGGCAGTAACACTGTCATCTTCACGGCATGGCAGGCGATGAACAAATGCTAACATTTGATATTTAGCTCTAATGAATTCTGCTTTATTGGGACTGTAAAGAGACACCCAAGCAACAGAAGGGAAAGAAAATAAATATTAGTGCTTTCACAGTAATACAGACACTCCAGAAAAAGGAAAATTCACAAGTGCAGGTTGCATTAGATCTTTGCATGCTACTACTAGCAAAGGTAGACATGGAAAAATATTTTAATTAAAAAAAAAACAACTCAGCACAGATTGTCTAACTATACAGAGCACGCTTTTGTTACAAACATCAAAGCATCTGCAGACTGTAGGATGTAGTGTTTATTTCTTAAACAGAGCTTAAAATTATGCCAACTGAAGATCTATAGTTACTATATACAGTCATTTACATTTTAAAACAAAGCACCATGTTCAGTGACAGAAATCTCTCAGTTTTGTGGCGGTTTTTCTGTCTGTTTTTTTTTTTTAATTTGACCAAACCCGATCTCCAAGCAGCTCAGTTAACTGAAACACCTGGCATGAGAATTAGAAGTCTATTGATTCAAGTACAAGTAAAGGTCCTCACTTCAAAGCTAGAGGTCAGGAATCAATAGTTTGGAGAATCTAAGAAATGTATTTCCATTTCTGCAATTTATATTTTAAAAATTAATTACTAGAAATTTAAAAAACATTAAAACCGAGTGAACAAGTAACTAGTTTACTCCTGTTTGCTTCCAACAACAAAATATACACAGGTTCCCATGAATACCTTGCTGCCTCTGCCACTGCTGAATAAAAATCATCAAGCTTCTACAAAAATAAACCCCCTGATATTTTCCACTTACTGCACTTTATCCTGCGGGCTAGCCTTGCGCCTTCCACTCATAACAGAGGCAGGGTCCAGCAACGAATGTTCCCATATGGAGTTAGCACCATTATTATACAGTGTCTCAACCATCTGAAATCCAAAATGTATACAAACAGGCAGTAAAGAAATTTTTCTGCTAGCTGCACAAACCGACTAATCAAATATCTGTAATTATTTTCAAGCTGACAGCACATCAACAGGGATTCCTACTGCGTGCCAGCATCCATAGCCTACTGGCATCTCAGAACCACACACGTCTAGGAGGTTATGATGGGGAATGTAGTAAGAACCCCCTTAAAAAAATCTCTACTCTTCCCAACAGCAGATCTTCTGAAAAAGAGAGGCTTGCTATAGATGGAAAACTGAGGTTGAAGCAGATGAGTTGTAGAAGTCAAAGAAAAGTTGAAAGTGACCTTCTAAAACAAAGGTATCGAATTAAAAAGGTGCAGACAATTCTGATTTTAGTGGTCCATCACAGCCAAACAAGAGAAATAAAAGGAGACTAACTTAGATAAAGAAAGCTTAAAAGGACCAGCCCCTCTCAAACAAAAGCTTAGTGATTTAAATTCCATTAAAAACGCTTAAAAAAATTAATATATCCAGTTTAATGAAGGAAGACACAGTTTTACTTTTTACCTGCAGCAGTGTGGGAGGCCATGGCGTATGCTTGAGGTGTCTCACTTGAGAGATGTGACGCCCCAAACTTCGATGGACGCTACAGCACTCGTCACAGATCAGAATCCCCCTGTTTATAGATGCCCAGCAAGGATCTGAAAGAGAACCGAGTAATTACAACTCAGGAGGCAACATGACCTTGTATGTCAAACACAGAGCCTAAAATGAGGAGCCCTGCCTTCTCACCTCAGCTTAGCCCTTGTATGAGCCTGTAAAAGTTACAGCCTTGCTGGGAAAGAACAGCTCTGGTGCTGGGGGGTGGAGGAGCCCCGGGACAGCAGGGAGAGCTGCTGTGGAAACTGGGGAAAAAAGCTCCGCTCTTTGTAGTTCTTCCTATGAAAATACTTTCCTTTGTAAGAATAACAGGACACTACATTTACTATCTTCTTGAAGTGCGTATGCGCCCTACAAAACTATTTCTAATAGTAACTACCCGCTCCTTTGAAAAACTCAGAAATCTATAAATAAAAAGTGGTAATAGTAGTCATGGTTTTTCACATACTACTCAGTCTCCAGTTCTACATTATTAAAATATTTTTTTCCTTTCCACATTAAATAATAAAAACACTCCAGAGTGTCACAGTAAAAAAAAAAAAAAAAAAAAGGCAAGATACCTATGTGTCCAGTTAAAGGCTCAGTAAAATAAAAAACCTGTCAAGTAAATTAACTTCAGCTCTGAGCAGATCCATCTTATAAGCAGATCAGAAAGAAAACTGATGGAAGCTGAAGTAGTCAGTAATACATACTGGCTATTAGGTAGCTTCAAACATCAAGTATAAAACTGATTAGGAATGTTACAACAGATTGAAACTGAATATATGCACCACAGGACACTGAACTGAGGTCCCTCTGCTGCTCTCGGCCCAGTCTTCAGAAGAAATTCCAGTTTTCTGCCTGTGACACATGAAACTCAGCGTGCCAAGAACCCTGCAGTAACAGGCAGCTGAGCAGCAAGACAGATCTTCAGATCTAGCAGATCCCAGGAGAAGGAAAAAGGAATTCAAGATCTCTATGTTAGAAAATTCTACATAAATTCAATCCCATAGATGAGTTGGAGGCTAAGGAAGCGAGCCTGGTATCTGGTGAGAGAACTTCTGCATGCTGTCAGAATACATCTAAGCAACTGTGCATCACAAAAAAGTATTCTCTGACCCATGCAATAAATTTACTGAATCCCTGAAACACGAGATCTGATCATAGTTGTGGTTTCTAAGCAGAGTTGATGTTGTGTGTGTGCTGAAGGCAATGCAGGCAAACCTGTTCAAACCACGGGCCACAGGGCTGGGAGCATCTCTTCACAGATGATAACTATCACAGCCCAGAGCCAAATTAAAGCATATGTTTTAGAAAAAAAAACAACCCTAACCTAATTTAAAAAACAAATTAATAACAAGCACGCAACCTCCTTATTAAGTCATTCCATCATTTTAACAGCTTTCGCTTCTAAGAAGGAAAAAAAATAACAATGAAATGAGACGCACTAGTGCTCACCTAACCCAAGACCAGAGGCAGCCTTCCAGATTAATGAGTCGAGTCCCTTCTCATTACAGACGACCTTATCACACGCTCATTCATAAACTAACAGGATTCTTCTGCAAGCCATCCCGTTCCTTGTTTCAATCACTAGTTACAGGCTGCTTGTGAGCCTCACTTGGTTTTGACTACCTGTCACCATCAAGATTTTTTTCTTTACACCCACCACAATACCTAACTTAACTGGCTCCAGACAGCCATTTAGCCATGATAAAGCCAGCTACTGTTTATTTGGTCATTTCAGAGCAGAAACAGGGATTTTAAATTCTTCTGAAGAAAAAAGCTGTGGCCACGCTTGTAATTTCAGCTTGTACATTCTACTTAAAAAAAAAAAAAAATTCATACTCACGAACGAGTCCATGTTTATGTAGAATCTGTCAAAAACTAGCACCACTGGAAATGTGTGATGCAAAAAAAGACAACAGTAAAGGAAAGACAACAGATGGATTCGGTAAGGGAACTGCAAAGTTCAGCCCTGGGCCAAGGGAACGCTCTTTGCTCCTGGCAAGCGCTGGGGAGGCCAGAGAGGCAGCTCAGCTTAGCTCCAGTTTAGGAGCCTAAACGATACGGAACAGGGCGGATTTGACAGCGTGTGTGGTGGAGAGCAGACCGATCAAAAAGCAGTGGGAAGTTCAGCACTACAACCCGTTTTCTGAGTCACGCTGGTTTAACTAAGGGGTTTTTTTAATGAAACCACACAACAACTCGTAGCCCCTCAATTCAAGTCATACCTGGCTTAGCACCGCTTACTTGTTCTCAAATAACAGATGGGGATGGGAGAGGGAGAAGAAACAGCGTTAGACAGTCTGAAGAAACAGAGAGAGCGCTGTCACGTTATGGAAAAAAAATGTTATTTTGGGTTTAAATTTGATTTAATGAAGTGTCTGTGGTGGAATTTGAGTAATTAAAAAAAAAAAAAGATTCAATTACAGGCACAATCAAAATAAGTTTAAGCTGATACCAAAATACAACAGGGGAGAAGCTAGAAAGATATACCAAATCTGTTTTCAGGAACATGGCAGAGTGATTCAAAACAGGAAGCGTGTGATGAAGACAAGCTTGAACTGTGAGTTTGAAAAGTGAACTCCTGCCTGAGAATAGGAAGCGTACCAGAAAAGTACATGTAAAATCACCTCATGTAAAAAAAAAATAATTTAACGCTTCGCCACTGAAGCAAAGCGTGCACGGATGGATGGAGTTCAAGGGGCAGGCACTAATTTGGACAGCAGTCGGGCATTCTGCACTTGCTACACCTATCTGGGGGAACAGGCTGCAGCCCCCAGGACTCCTGGCACAGCAGCACAGCTCCCAAGCACTCCTCTGACGAATCCTCTCTGGTTTAAGTAAAATTAAAAATTAAAAAAAAAAAAATCAAGCCCTTCTTTAAGAAATAATTAAAATAAGGTTTCTTTACACATGGATAAACCAGCAGATTTCTTCACCAAATATCTGACAATGCTATAATGTCGTGACACAACAAAATAAACGGCCAGTTTACAAGATTACCCTAACAGTGATTCTGATACACCACGTATTCCTGACGAGCTTAACGAATACAAACAGAGTAACACAACTTAATCTCAAGACATGACACCACCGATGTTTAAAAGCACAGATACACTCCCTTGTACGAGATAAGGACCACTGCCTACCTAAGATATGCAAGCTCTATTTATTGTGAAAACAAAATTCTATGAAGATAAAAGTAACTCTGTGGGAATTAACTTGGGATTTTTATTATTCTATAATTTTTTTTTTTAAACAGAAGTTCCATTTTAGAAAAGCTGTTATCCCCTCTCCCACATCATATCTTCTGGCCACTCAAACGTTATTGATATCAGACTGTTTGAACTGATTTCAGTGCATACATAAGTAATTATATTGGAAGAACCAGCACAGAACACAAACAACAAAAACCACATAACTTTGAGAAGACAACAAATATAGACAATTGCTAAAAAAAAAAAAAAACAACAAAAAAAAACAAACAGCAAACTGGACAGCTTCCAAATATAAGAACTACAAATGGTCAGAAAAGGAGATGCAACAGACTTTCTGAAGACAAGATCTGTTTCCATAACCTCCCAAACCTACCTGCTGCGTAAGACAATGTGCATGTCCCGAACATGTTGCTCACTGAACAATTCCAATAGGAGTCTACTGGGCACTTCCAACACCCTTTCTTTGGGACTCGGGGATCTTAAGTTTAAGTTTTACTTCCCCCTGTCCCTCAGAATAAGGGGTGTCTCCACAGGCAGCCCCGCTCCCACCTTCACAAGCCCCCGAAACAGCCGCTGTCCCACTCAGTGACACACTGCCGACCTTTCGGCTCCGTGACTAGATTTCTCTAAGCAAGCCTTCCTCCTTTCGAGGCTGAGGAGTTCCAGATTTACTTTTCACCAGGGGGTGCCCGTTGTTCGCAGGCCATTCCCCGACGGCCTGGCCCCTCAGGGCGGGCCGGGCCCCAGGGCTGGCCCGGGGAGGGGGTAACCGCCGGGCTACCTGTGTGCTTTAAAACCGAAATTAGAGCAAACTGAGGTTCGGTACGAGAACGGGTCCTTCCCAAACAAGCCGACACGGGGAAAAACACTAAAACCGCACCAAACCCGGC